GGGTGTGCGTCATCGTCATGTTATATCACGAGAACCGTTTCCACTACTTTCAATCCTCTCTTAAAACTCTGGTCCTGCCTTTTGGCCTACTCCTGCCCTTTTTTTGCCCACATCTCGCCCCGCCTTATCATTGTTTCAATGAGTGCCACGAGTTATAGCGACAAGGGTATCGGAAGTTGTCCTTCGAAACCTTGAGCATGAATAAATCTTCCTAAATTAAAAGGCTGTCAGATGGTTGATTGATGAGGTACATCATTAATTTATCTAGAAAAAGTCCAATTTAAAGAAAAAAAAATATTCAAGGTAAAATTTTGCTACATGCATTACAAACGCTAAATATTTGAAATAAGGAATAATAATTATGGCAGTTTTGTTATGAAATCGTAACAGAAATTTGCAGGTTTTTACCTTTGAGTATATCAGATTATACATAGTCACAACGCGTCCCGGGTGAGGTGCCCCCTCGGGTGCCCCGACTCGCACGGGGTGGCGCCGCCCTGCTACAGTCGCGCCCGGACTTTCTCTGCTGCTGTGCAGCCGGGGCAGGTGCAGGGAGAGGGAGGGGGGAGACGGATTGGCATAGCTGGAGCAACGGGAGCTGCTGCTGCTGCTGTTGATGTTATTCGCCAAGCAGAAGGAGCACCGAACTGACCGACCAGAAACCGACCGGAAGGGGAAGATGTTGGGGGGGGGGGGCAAGCCCCCGCCAGGACGAATCTAAAAGTAGCCAGAAGGCGAGTCCCAACGGTCACCGGGACAGCAAGTAAGAGAGAGAAGGGCTGACGTTACATTTCCCCGAATCAATCAGAGAAACACGGACAAACTGCAGCTAGGCCGTATCCTAGCCAGGCCTTTGTAGCTATAGCTATTTTCAAAGATATTGCTGCATATCTGAGAATTGTTAGACTGTCACTAATACAAGTTTGGTGTTAACAAATGTTGGGCGGGGCGTTTTGCACTTGAAAGTAGGAAAGTGAAAAGTTTGGCCCTTTAAAGTGTACTGTGTCGGTTCTACAACACAACAGTACTATATTCTCTTTAAAATAAACCAAACTTCACTGCCAATAACGAGTTGTATTTGTAGTAAAGGTCGCACAGGAGGCTTCGGAATACATAATTTCACTGACTTAATTGCTTGCGGGCGGAATTAAGAAGTAAAATGGAAGCACATTAATGGAGCCAGAAGTTGAGTAAAACACTACACAGAAGAAAACAGAACAAAAAGTACAAGTGTTCCTCCTTGTCAGAAGGTCGTGTGGACTCGGCGCGCCTGATGAAGGGATTTTGGAATTCCATCTAATAATCGATCCAGATGTCTTGCTAACACCGTCTGCAGCCGTGAATAACTCGACGTGGTATCGCGTTCTGACAGACGACGCTTCGCCGCACATATCTGAATTTATTAACGCAGCCGGGGCACCCACATGAGGACGGAGCCAGAGACACCACGGCGTACGAGAAAGCTGCAATAACGTCCGGGATTGTCAACACGACATCATGACAAACAGCTTCATCCCATTTGTTTCCCGACCCGATATTATGCGCCTTTCTCAACCGCGCAAACCCTGACCAGCCACAGTACTTGCTTTGCTTCCCATAGTTGGTCATTTACTATTGGATGTTTTCTAGCCTTCCTGAGCGGAGGCTGGCTTCAGAACCAACAGGCAAGGGAAGCAGGAAAAACTGGGAAGACACCTAGGGCACCCCCTCCCATACCCCTCCTCCCTTCACACACGGCTCATTCATGCACGGTAAGTACCGCAGACCGGTTCCATTCGGCGTGTGGGAGCCTAGGCAAGAGGCAGGGTAGCGGGGTGCGGCA